CCCCCCCCCTTCCATTCGACCACGAGATGCCAAAGTTAATTATTCTTTGGCAGTGCAGGTGCAATTAGATGACAATTACACCACAGCTGGTAGCAGGGGTGGGAAGCCGTTCTTGTCCGCGTGGGCGTGCATGGAGCTAATAAGATGGTTTTCGTCTTTTTTTTTTTTTTCCCGTGCCTTTCTTTGGCCGAGAAAGGGGGTAGGGAGGGAGAACACAGGAGGGTTTAGCTTGTTCCACTCGGCTTAGAGGTAAGAGGTTGTGAGGAGGAGAGCCGCCGGGGGAGAAACACAGGGGGGAAGAGGGCTTTAGCCATGGGGCATTGGGTCCTGCTGATCCCCCCTACGAGAGGTCAGGAAGGTCACGCTACTGTCACGCTAACAAAAGGATTTCATTTGTTGCCACCCTAATACCAGCCGGCTCTTTTAAATTGTCCCCGCGACCCGCAGTGCAACCCCCCCCCCCAACCCGGCTGCCATTACAACACTGATCTACTGCTGAAATTATTGCAATCACCGAGTGATTATCAAGAGAAAACACAAATGATTGCTGTTTAAAGCTTCTAAACACAGGAGGGTTTTTTTTGGCTTTTTCTGTTTCAGGGCTTCAACCAAATATATTTTCAACATCATTCCATTTCTCAATCAACTCTTTTGTCTGAAAAATGCACAAAAGTAGTGAAAAATGTCCAATATGATTTCCCAGAGTCCATCACATATCTCGTTTTGACAACGACAACCTAAAATTCACCTCACATTGAATATTAGATGAAAAATATTTAGGGTTCGCACTTGAACACATCACCATCCATTTGTTTAATGATTATTTTTTGGATAAATAGTTTTGTCTGTAATTTTGTCTGTCTATTTCAAAGTCACTGTGCTGTCACATTAGACAAAGAAAACCAGCAAATCCTCACATTGAAGAAGCTGTAATCAGAGAATTTCTCTCATTTTTGTGAAAATAATTACTCAAGCTATCAATCGATTATAAAAATAACGGTTCTTTAGATGTTTAGAGCAAAATTGACAAAAAAAGAATTGTCTCTAGATATTCAAATGTTGATATTTGCTGTTTTTCTTCATCTTCTTTGAAACTTAATTTAAAATCTTTTGGTTTTGGACAAAAAAAGCAATTTGACTACATCAGAATATCTTATGGACATAATCTAACTGCCAATTAATTGATTTTTTTTTAAAAAACACAATGTTCTCCTGCTTCCTCACTCTTCCGTCAAAATCTGCAGCCATAAGCTGTCATTCAGGAGAGGGAGGAAGAAAAAAAAGAAGTGAATGATGATGAATTTAGATTTCAACAAAAATAACCAAAAGGAAACGGGGTTAAAGCCTTGTTAGTATAAAAGAGGAAGCAGCAGCGAGTCTGGGAGCACACTCTGTCTCAGTAATTCCTTGCCTTGTCGCCTTGTCTCTCATGGAGTCGGTTATTATGGAGACGCGGCTGTCATGTCATATTTAGCTCTGGAAATGTCATTTGGCAGCACACCTGCTGCCTGGCTATGCTAATAAAGCTAGGTTTAACTTTGATTAGGATTCACAGGGAGAGATGGATGGAAAGAGAGGAGAGGCAGGGGAAGATGTATATATTTATATATATATATGTATATATATATATATATATATATATATGTGTATGTATGTTTAAATGTGTATGTGTGTGAATAAAGGGCGAAAGCCAGAGGTACATAAAAGAAAAGACACATCAGAGAGAATGAGGAGGGGCAAGGTCCCTCCAGAAGCGAACCTCATAGCTGTCTCTTTCTTCTCTTTCGACCCATGACATGTAGCAAGATGACTCATGCCTTAACTGGATGGATATGTCTGGATGCATCACATATGAAACATAAGAGGGAGAGGAGCCCCTGACCTTTATTGGAGCATATCAGCTAAAGGGGAAAGACGGGCTGACATGTCAAACTCTGTTAATTTTTCTCGTGTCACTGTGTCCACGTTTGTGCATGTGCGGTGTGTTCAGATGCCCTCGCCTGCCAGTTATTCCCTCCCTCCATTTTTTTTATACACATGTGAGCGGCTGAGGACCCGAGTAGACGACGACGCACTCACCCCTGGTAGCGTCTTCTGCTCGTGCAGTGCATTCTGGGCTTTGAGGGCGGACTCACGTGCACAGTATGTCAGGAAGGCACAACCTGGGAAACAAAGCCAAACGAGAGAAGATCAGCCAAATATAAGTGCATGTATTTTTAATGTCAGATTTGTCAACATTGTCAACACATGGTGCTGTTCGCCCCGGAAGGCCTGTAGGCAGTAACATCAAATAAATAATATAAATATGCACATTAGATATCGAGTACGTGCTTTGGTTTTATTTAACAATTTTGGGATTGCATGTGTTTCAAATATATGAAAATGCTTCCAGCCTTTAATCAGGCCACAATTATAAATATGTATTTAAAGCTGCATTAAAAAAAAAAAGATGAAATGAAAACAATGACCAACTGTCATTTTGTTAAATAGTTTTCCCAACAGCGCAGGAGATCGGTGGGATTATTAAATCATAATACCTGGAGACAATTCAGACACAGGCTGTCTGAATGAGTGTTTAATATCATGCTGTTCAAGCAAAATGTATGCAGTCCCACATAATAGAGAAAGGCCTTCATTAACCTTTAGGGCTCCCACAAATCATGAATATGTAAATGTATGCAGAATAGGTGTTGTAGGTGTTAGAGGACTGGTACCACCTGGCCCTATACGTCTCCCAACTGACTGATGCTTTATGTGGATTTATAAAAGCCTTTGTTTTCCCTGCTCATATTTGCATTAGGGATGACAGGAGGGATCAGTGTTTCACTCAGATCACTTTTACCAACTTAACTCCATCTGTCAAACTGGATTCTGACAGTGGAGAGTTTTTAATTCCAAATTATGAGAAGCCCTTTTTATCATTTGACAAACATTACTTTCAAGTTGACTATTCTCATCATATCAACAAATTACGGTCGAACAAAATAGTTTTGTATGATGGGAAATTAGAGAACTACCTCTGTGGTGATAGAAAATTATATATAGAGAGCGTTGTTATACATTTTACATTGTAAAATATATAACAATGCTGTTTATTATCTCCACCAGTCATGTCATGTTTTCACCCCTCCGTGTCCATTTGTTTGTCTGATTGTGGGTTTGTTTGTTGTAGATTTACACAAAAACCCCTGAAAGGATTTCCACAAGACTGAAGGACGGTACACAAGCCAAAAAAGAACTCAAGACATTCTGGGATCCAGACAAAGGGGCTGAACACGTTAATTTTTTATCAGTGTCTTTAACATTGAGAGAGAGAGGGTTTTATTTTTCACCAATTTCGTAAGAAGATCTTGATTTAAAAATAATCAGACATATTTAGAGAAGTGATATCTATGAGTGTGTGAAAATTGGTGCAGCTTGATTTAAGGGGACTGTTGGGCCTTGGCGATGGTATTTGCTCAACTGATCGTCATCCTAGTTCTGTATAATCTCCTAAATCTAACAGCTGACAGTTATTTATTCATTCCATGATTTTTAATTTGAATGAGTTGATGTCTTATTTTAATAAAATCATGTTGGAGGTGAAGAACAACCATTGACACATTTTTGTGAATGCAGCCTTAAACTAATAGTGTCTTAAAATCTCTGGTGTAGCATCATGGGACATGGCATAACATTTCCCAGGATGCCCTGCAGCGTCCAGTTTGATGAGCAGACTGTAGATTTTAAAAAACCATCATTTGAAAATACAAGAGTGCATTCTTATATGTGATCATATCTAAAGCAGGAGAACACGTGAAAAACGTTAGAATTAAATGTATTTGCCTAAATGAGTTTGACTTCTTTTCCAGGGAAATAAATGAAATGTTGTCAATTCAGCTTGAAAATACTTAGCATGAATCACTACCTCAGTCTGAGTCAAAGCCAAATCTTTTTCCACTTTAATCCAAAACAGAAAGCCTGACTAAAAGATTTGTGAAGTGTGAGGATGCAAACTTTCCACCAGATGTGCTTTAAAAAAACAGGTTTTAGCCTCACAGCGACGCTCAAGGAGGCCTCAGAGGGACAAGTGCTAAATGAGGAGGAGCCACACTGATATTTACAGGGAATCCAGTCATAAGAATAAACTATCGTGACTCTATGTCTTGCTCTCATGCTAAATTATTCCCCATTAGGAAGCTCTGTGAGACAAGATGGGAGTTCTTCTTCCTTACCTTTGTGCATCCCCGTGTATTTGTCCTTTATCACCGTCAGCTCGTAGATCTTGCCAAACTGCTCGAAGATGGGCTTCAGGTCCTTCTCCTCCAGGTTTCGGGGTATCTGCCCGATGAAGAGCTTGATTGCGTCAGGCTCCTTCATTGAGAAGTCTGGGGAGGAATAAGAACACACACACACATAGAGATAGAGATAGAGAGAGAAAGAGAGAGAGAGAGAGTGGAGGCGGTCAGGAGGAGCAGACAGGAGCCTGCAGGCTTAAATTCACACTGCACAGGAGGTGCAAACAGGAGGCTGGGGATAGAGGTGCAGATGGGAACGATCAGTGGGACTGAGATGCTGAAATTATAGTTTCTACATCCTCGGAGAGATGGTGGACCAAATCCTCAAGTCGATTTTAGAGAGAATACAATACATAAATCACACTGACACACATGTGGTCACAATAAAACACACAAATAACACTAAGATTAACATATAGAGTATGATATTGATATATTAATAGATGAAAATTCTTATAGTTAATATCATGAATTCACTGTTGGTTGTATGACACATTGTAAGAACTATATTTTCTATGGGAATAGTGATGTAATGTTATTTTAGAGGGGCTCAAAAGCAACCAAACACATTTTTGACCCAATTTCAAACAGCCAAAGCCACAATTCTGTGTTTCATTGCAAAAAATCCTAAATTAAAGAAGAAAATGTTCCAAGACAATAAAATTATAATCTCATAACTTCCATATTCATAGGTTTCTATCAACGTTTGGATCAGACAGTCGTGAGCTACAGAGCTAAGTTGCAATCTGTCCTTTTCGCCAGTGTTAAGATAAATAAAATAAAAAATGTGAAGTCACATCACAGCAGATGATAGTAAACAGCTCGATCCGTCGATGTTCGAGACAGAAACATCATGTGTCTGTCAACACAGCTGGAGACCTGCGCTCTCTTTGTCAAGACGTGGGTGACAACAACAATGACCCCAACATGATTCTACACGTTTCACCCAAAAAATAAAACACACACACACACACACACACACACACACACACACACACAGACACACAGACACACACACAGGGAGGTGGAAATAAAAAGCCTCCTACCTGTGGTGCTGTTGGTGGCAGAGAATCGATGGAAGCAGCGGACGTCTTTCTTCTTTACTTATTAAAGCTCCAAGATTCAGTTCATCTGTCGGGAGGAGCGTCTCTGAAATCCCGCTACAAGTTCGGCCTGTTCGCCCCTGAAACAACACAACTCACATCCAGCGACGCTCCTTTATTCGGCATGAGCGTCTTTTTCTAGATCTGCTTGTTTTTTTCTCCTCCTCGCTGCTCTTGAATTCCTGGATGTCTCTCTCCCTCCTCTCTCTAGAATGAATCAGAGAATAAACAGTTCTCCCTCCCTGGCTCCGCTGGATGAGTGTGGAGATCAATTGATATTTAGGCTTCCGTCAGTGGACCGTGGGGAATAGTCGGTCTGGTTGGTCGGTCCTCTCCCCTCTGAGTGTGTGAGTGTGTGTGAGTGTGAGTGTGTGTGAGTGTGTGTGTGTGTGTGTACTCCTTTGACGTCGTAAGCCGGTGTCTCCCTCCCTGTCCATCTCAGCTCCATCCCTCCCCTGGGCTGTCTGCCGCCAGGGACCGTCCACAAGCTACCGGCCCCGTGACAGCCGCACAGAGGGAGAAAAGAAGGGAGACATTAAAGGGTTAGATCACCGAAAAAATTAAATAATCCACTCATTATCTGCTCGATACCGATGAAGAGGTGGGTGAAGTGTTTGAGTCCGCAAAACTCTTTTCAGTAGTAAGGTTGCATGTTGCAGGTGAACACCCCTCACCTCACCACCCCCTTCCAAACATGATGGAGAACGTGTAGTAGACTTCAGTTGTCATAAGAACTCAAAAGGTGTTTAGTTCATCAGGTTTGGACGACTGTAAAAAACATGGCGGCCTCCGTACAGACGACGAGCTCCTGATGTAAAAATAAAGTATTTAAATCTAAAGGGCCCATTCTAGGGTAAAGAAAAGAACAATGTGTACAATTTGAATGAAACACACTCGTGAAAACATCACTGGGATTATTTGATATTCAGTTTCTGCCAATAGATCCCTTTCGCCTAAATTTTACACACTGAACCTCTGAGTAAAAAACAACAGAAAAAAACCCAACATAAATGCCTCTGTACTGCTCCTGTGGTGTCATCCAAGTGTCCGTAAACCCTGGTGTTCAAATTCAAATCAAGCTAGCTAGTTCCGGCAGCATCGCTACTTCTGGCAGCGGACATTTAGGCTAAAAACAACATGACCACGTCTGTCCGAACCTTCTGTGGCTGATAAAGGTCACGCTGTAAAACTTATTAAATTGTACAGAGGCTACAAGGTTCACATCCCACATATCTTCCTCCTAGTGTTTAATATATTTCTATACTATTTTTTATATTTATGCTTATTCACAAACACAACAGATTCCTTGTAACCTACTTGGCAATAAATTCTGATTCTGTACTCGACTGCACAAACATGCACTACATCAGACTGAGAGGGGCTTTGGACGATGGGAATCAGACGTCAGAAGAACTGTTCTTCAGAAATCAAAAGATATTGGACATAAAAACAGGAGGTGCTCGCTCGGAGGGATTTGTCGTTTTTCTTGCTGAGGGGGAAGTTGCAGACGGTCCCTGACATCAAAGATGTAAATCCGCCTTTTGTTCTCGTGGCGCTGACCGTGGTCCTGAATATGGTTCGAGTCCGCTCGTGACTCTGAGATGCAACATGAGAATAAACACCTCATTTCCAATAGAGTCAATACAGGAACCTTCACACACACACACACACAGACACACGCACACACACACACAGTGAAATCTCGACAGCATGTAAACAATGAGCCCACATGACAGCCTGCTGCACACACCCACGACTCTTCAAGAGGAGTCACGATCTGGATCTGATCCGTGTCCTCAACGTTACACACACAGTGAACAGCCTCAGAGCTCAGATCTCAATGTGACACATTCGATCCTGTGTTTCCACCAACACCACATCTCCTCCGCTCGTCTCCAGTGTTAACGCCGCCATCTGTCATTCGCCATTAAATCCCGCCTCCCGCCCTTCATCCCACAATAAGAGCCACACGAACACGAACACATGCACACACGCACGAACACACGCACGCACGCACGCACACGCACACTGCAGGCGTGGCAGACTGACTTCATCTGGTTCTGATCCATGAGGTAGAAACACACGATGAACGTAATATCACTTTTAACACGTGATTTGTGTGACAATGGATGAAGCACACATGAAAAAAGTGGAACCAACAACGACATCTGGTGACGAGCTGCCAACACACACGAGGCTGTCGTGCCTGTGTTGTTGTCACTGCGCTCTAAATACGTGACTTTATAAATGATACCGACTTCTACTGCATGTGGGGATTTAAATGTGTGTCTGTAGTAACAATACTACAGACACACACGTGTGTTAATCTGTCTTCAGCAAAATTACTTCGGGTATTTTTTAAATACTAGTTTCGTAGTGTTACACGTTTTGTTGTTATATCAGTGTATTGTTTTTACCTATATATTATCGTGTAAACAGCTTCATATTGCAGCAACTTGTATTATTACTTTTTACTGTTGTGCAGCTCAAACTCAATTCCTGCCTTTAATTGTGTCCTTAAAGTTTTTTTCAGGAGATTTAAAAAGAAATAAATATATTATTTGAACCTGCATATGGAAATAAAGTACAAGGCCTCAAAGTTGCAGAAGAATTATGAAACAAGAAACTTGAATAATTGCATGAGAATGCTGGAATATTTTACTGCACTGGTTTAAAGACTGAAGGAGATTTCTGAAAAGAACAAACGAGGCATCATTTAAAACATGAACCTGAATGAAAAACCTTATTTAGTATAAAAATAACAACTGTTAAATAAATGAGCAAAATGTAGTGAAGTAGTTTAGTAAATGCTCTTAGTTAGATTTCACCACTGGCTTTAAATAAATGATGGAAATGTTTCCTGAAACTGTGACAAGTCTGAGACTCAAACAGGCCAAAGGTCGTCAGTTGGTCCTCTGTGGTAGAAACCATGCATTATTAAATTTGGTGATTTGAGGATTAACTGTCCCTTTATGGGAACAAATTATCCACAATCCCATCGGAGCAAAGTTTTTCTAATCTGAATGGATCTTTTTGGGTTTAACAGGATAAAAAGCAGCTGATACACTTGACTCAAATACTGCAAATAAACTGACAACACAACCGTGCTTTGATATAAACAATACTTTATTTCAGAATAAAATGCATTGAGTGGAGTTTGTACATATAAAAGGCATCTGAATATTGTTGATAACAATGTGAGAGTATTTAATAATCCTGGTTGTACTCACTTCACGTGGGCTCGGTGCAAACTTCCTGCTCTTCTGTGATTCTTCTCAAACACTGAAAAAATAAAGACAGAGAAACAGTTTCAGCATTTTGATTTTCCCCCTGCCTGTTTTTTCCCTGTCAGGATTTCCTGCTGGTGGCCCTCGGCCTCTGATGTGTTTCAGTGGAGTCTTACTCAGCTGCGTTCATGTCAGACCATGAAGAGACATCACTGGCAGCGGTGCAGGGATTCAAAGAGGACAGTCACCACAGCAGCAGCAGCAGCAGCAAACCTCCACCTCCCCCACCTCCATCAGTCAGGTTGTGGGAAGAAGTTAACATCACATCAGACACATCAAAGTGTGGCTCTGCTTCCCTGAGGAGGAGAACAGGAGGAGGGAAGGAAGGATGAAACAGGAGGAAAATGGGTTAAAAGTCAAGGGATGGAGGAATGTAAACATTATTTATCACTCCCGATAAATTAAACAAAAGATGTTAATTATCAGGCAGCAATGAAAGACACTAACAATCTCCCTGACATACATGAAGAAGTCCAGATTCTAAAGGTATAAACAACTCTTGTATAATTACTTGTGATGCTGGAAACACACTGACATCTGTCCACATCTGTCTCATCGGATCTGACTATACAACATTTTAAAACCTGCTGCACCTTGTCCATTCAATTCTTAACTATTAATCCACCTGAACTTTCAGCTTCACTTTCTGTTTTCGTGATTTCACCAACAATGAAATCAAATCAATCTTCATTAAAACTGATAAGAAAAATCTGTACAAATTAAAGGTCTGAATTCAAACTGGCAGGTTCATAAGATAAAAAAAAAAAAAGTGTTCAAATTGATCATGTTAAGAATCGATAACATAGGAGTTACGTTTATTTTCTATTTTTATAATAACTGAATATTTACTTATCATTAAAAAATTAACGTTTGGTAGTGTAGGATTATATGGTATTAAATTAATTTAGCAAAAATATCTTGATGGTATAATTTATTTATTGACTCTATTAATCTTTTTATTTTTAGAGCAAAGATAAAAATGTATTTTTTTTATTTATTGTTGAACAAGGTACTTAACAGTCCACAAGTCGAATTAGCTACATTTGATTTTTTTTTTTACAAATGAATGGATCGTGTAAGGATCTTGTTTTTTAGTCATCGAATCAATTCGACTAATTACTGCTTTGTCTTAAAACTTGTTCTCACATTGAAGTCTTGTGCAGACACAGTTTGACCTGAGAATTAAATTCCTGTCACATTCTCCTCTTCTATTCATGCAGCAGGATTCTTTCTGAATCAAAGAGCCAAACACCTGGTTTTCCAAAGGGAGACGATAAAAGCCTCGACTGGAAAAGAATCCATCACAACACCAGCACTGAGATCAGTGAAGTGGATATGTGATGTGAAAACCTGAACCACATGAACAAAGCAAACAGTTTTGAGGTCAATTAGAAACCTGATAGATTTAAGTGAGTAAAACCAAAACAGAGAATTAGAAAAACTGATTTTAAGGTTAAGTTTAGTTTGTGTTCTGAGAAACCACTTGAAAAACTGTTAAATTATTTTTATTGTGATAAATTTAAAAAACACATTTTCAGGAATGTCCTCACAGGCTGAAATGTGCAGCCTCAGTGTTGACATTCCTTCATCATGATTAATAGTCAATCACATGTCTATAGCTTCATTGATTTATTTTAGAAAATACTGAATATTTAGATTAAAAAAAAATTCCCTTCTTGAAAGAAATCTTTCTTTGCAATAACAGCGAGTAAGTAAATAAGTAAAACATGATACACGTTGTCAACTAGTGACTATTTACTAACAATAATAATTTAGTAGTTTCCAACCTTTCTGGATCCAATTTACATGGAAAGGAAACTTGTTCTTTTTACAAAATAGTTTTTAACATTGTTAAAATACTGACTAAATCTTGCCCTCAAATAGCAATGCCTATTTCTATAAAATTCCGTAAATTGTGTTACATAATTTCAATTAACTTTGATGATCTTTTTAGAGTCTCTGGTTATTACTAAAATGCTAATGTTCTAGTTTAGGCGCACCCTAAAGTAACATAGATGGCTGCTGGTAGTTAAAGGCAGTGGTGCAACAGTCCATTGAGTAGAGGAAAGAAAAAGAACAACACAGTTTTTAAACTCAGATTTTTATTAGTCAATACAAGTAAAACGAAACTGAAGTCGAGAATCTTCATCCTCTCCAAAAATGCATTTCTTCTGCGTCGGTGTTGGTGGGTGAAAAAAAAAAAAAAAAAAGAAACTCACACCTCTCTCTCTCCTTCAATCTCCGACTTGTGCCGCTCTCCTTCAAGAAACTCAACGAGACGTGAAAGTGTCGCCGAAGGGATCTTAACGCTTAGGTGGAGAAAGTAGTGCTTCAGAAATATATAACATTCGCAGTTTGAATAAAAAAAATGAAAGTAATTTTGCCCCAAATATTCAATTGTGGGACAAATAGGAATTCTCTATAAATACACTGTGTTTTTCATAGAGTGAAATTCAAATTGATGTTTTACCAAAAGCTACTGGGAAACTGCCGGTATGGAAGAGAAGCAGTCAGAACTGCTCACTGACGAACTGAACAACAGCAGAATCACTCTACGTTGTTTTCTGATTCTTTTTCGCAAAAATAACTATCTGCGGATCTGATGGAAGAATATGAGAACGGCCTTTCACATGATGACATAAGCTTGACCGCATGCACACCCTCATACCATGCACACACACTGACCTATATCAAACTGATGCTCCATTACATATTAAATGAATTGCTTGACTACTGGAGCAAATAAAACAAAAAGTGAATTATATATATCCACCTCTTTTTTTCTTTAATCTTCTGTCGTCACTCTTCAGCCCAGCCGCCCTCTCAGAGCCTCCGTTGGCCATCACCTCTCTGGGTGTTGATTCTTCTCAACCCTCTAATCGTCCTTTATTCACCATTTTCACTTTTCTTCTGGCAGCTGCTGAATTTTGTTCTTCAGCATAACCTCCCTCTGTCCTCTGACTCCCACCTCAGTATCTGCGACATTCTCTGTTTCAGATTTTGACTTGTAAGTTACTGAACAATCTTTAAAGTCTTGCCCCCACCTTCATGACATCCACAGTGATTTCGAGAGCTCAGAACAAAGTCTCCAGTCAGTACCGAGGAGGTGGAAAGGGTCTTTTTGGTGGAAACATTGGACCAGGATTTCCCCCTCCTCCTCTTGGACCTGGACGTTTGCCTCTTAACCTTGGATTGGGGCCGTGGAACCGAGGAAAGGGCGCACGTGGGGGTCCCCTGGGGTGTGGGTGGTGTGCAGGGTGGGGAGGCCGATGTGGATGTCGTAGACCAAGATGAGGCGGCGGTGGCCTTCTTGGAGTGTAGTGGGGAGGAGGAGGGGGGCTGTGCCGCTGGTAGTCGTGGCTAAAGTAAGGGTCTTCTGAGGGGGAGAGTGGGGGATTGATGCCTCGACCTCTGGGGTAGTGGTGTGGAGGACTGCCTGGCCTGTGGTACGGATCATCTGGGTGGTGGAACGTGTCATCCTGAAAGCGATTGAAATCTTGACGGTGGGGCTCATCGTGGTACCACTCCTGGTCCTCCTGATAACGCAAGCTGTCTCGGTGGTGGTGTAAATCTTCAGGGTGACGATGGTGGTCCAGCTTCGACAGTGGCTCGTCTGAATGGAACATGGACTTGTGCTGATGGTCGTGCACCACCATCCCACTGATGGCACTGTCCGGTCTGGCCCCAGGTACTTCCACATGGCGGTTCATCGCCTGATGATCAGGGGGAATCATCGGACTGCTGGTCACAGGAGGGGGGCCGTCAAAGGTGTGAGGAGGTGGAGGTAACTGTGGGACAGGAGGGAGGTTGCCTCTGAAGAAACCAGGGGGCAGGTTGGCTCCCTGCAGGGAAGCTAAATCTCGAGGTTCCCCGGTTTGCTCTGTTTGGTACTGATAAAGTCCTGATGTCTTATTTTCTCCAGGCCCCCCAGGCACTGTTACGCTGTACCCTCTGGGTTGCTGAGAGCTCCCCTCTGGGAAAATGTCACTGTACCAGCCCCTGTCGTTCATCCCCTGAAAGCCTTCGACTGCCTGTGAGCCACTGGTGCTGCCTGGGGCTCTCTCTCCTGTTTGTGTAGAAAACTGCTGGAAATGTGCTACAGATGCAGTAATCCCATGATCTGACATCTCCTGTTTGCCACTAGGAGGCGGCTGGTACACCTGCCCGTTCTGAGCCACGCCCGGCTGAAAGTGAGCCAGTTGTTGGGAGCTGCTGAGGTTCTTCTGAGTTCTGTTCTGGCCCACGATAGGAGCCGTTTCAACTGTTTCTCCCACAGACAACTGATTTGAGTTGGAATTGAAAGGAACCACAGGCTTGTCCATGATCTCATCTTGAGTCGGGGTGCCTCCTCCTTCGTCCCTCACTGGAGTCCCACCCTGGGTGTCTGTGCCAGTTACTGGGCTGACATTTTCACTTCCTGCTGGGTTTGCAGGAAAACCCAAGTCAAATGCATTAAAAGCAGAGTTCCCTCGCAGGAAGCGGTGGATTTTAGACTCTAAACTCTTAGAGGACTTGGACGGCTCCGGCTCTGTTGTCAAATCCATGTCTCTATGGAGAGCCTGGACCAGGGCTGAGGCTCGGTTAGAAGTCTGGGGGGGGACTTGGGAGATTGTGCTCTGTTTTACAGAAGAGTTGGGTGTAGAAAGCACGGGTGCAACAGAGGAGAGAGACGGGCTCTGAGAGGGTGCTGCTAATGCAGCTGTGGATGAAGGAGGAATCTTGCCTGTACTGGAGGATGCTGAGGAGACATTTGCAGCTGGGCTGCTCAGAGTCGAGGAGACGCCTAAGAGAAGAAAAGAAAAATGAAGAAATTAATTTTAAGCAAGCTGCTTTTAATGTATGTTATAAAATAGAAACATGATATAAAGTTTTTGTTTTAAAACTAAAAACAGAGGACTCTTTAGTCTCACCCCCAAAGCTGCTCTGGCCCTGGACTTTGGACAGAGCACCAAGGAGATCTGAAGGAATCACGTCCACCTTGGAAAGGAGGTTTACCAGGGAACTGGCATCCTGAGAGGCCACAGAGATCACAGGTGTGGAAGCAGGAGTGGCAGCAGGAGCAGCTGCAGGAGGACTCTCCACCAAAGGTCCTGCAAGACAGAGAGGAACACTTAGAAAGTAAATCACTATCTAGAACGCTGCAACTGTTTTTACAGCAAAAACACATGAAGATTGCAGTGAAATTAGAACAATTACAGGAATATGCTGGGATTCAAAATCAGGGGTTGCACCACATTTTACATTTGCAAAGTTCAAATTTTTTTTATACTCTCCTTGTATTCTTATACCTTATCAAATTTTGTTTTATTTTGAAAAAGAGGAATATTATGATGTTCATATTGTATAACAAGTGGCGGAGAGTTCAGACAGAGAAACAGTGGAGACAACAGAGTTTTTATTCAATTTTATTTGAATGTTATCAATCCGCCTGTCTGTATGACATCAGAGCAGCCAGCAGCACTCACCTGTGTTCTTTATGACTGAGCTTAAACTGTTGAGGATGGAGCCAATTTTACCCAGATCAACACTTTCAACAGCTGCTGCAGGTGCGGCCACAGGGGGCGTGACCTGTGTCACAGGCTGCTCTGCTGCTGCCGGTGGCTCCTTGTTTGCAGGCACTGGAGTGGACACCTCTGGGTGGGTGGGACGTTCTGTCTGCTGCTCAACTGAGGAGAAACAAATGGCAGGAAGAGAGAGTGAAGTGACGCCAGATAAATCCAGTTGTTTCATATTTAGTTTTTAGGCCACACAGTTATTGTCATTTATTTTCTTCAACTTAATGTTTTCTTTATGATCAACCTTCATGATCTAAAATGTGCATAATATGATAAATAATCTTAATGTGGCTAAATATGATATGATGGCAAATTGCTTGTATATAATATATAATAATATAACACAAATGACAAAGAGGTTAAACTGTTAGTGATGACTGTAGCAGCTGATGTCTTTTATTTCATCCTGTAGGTGTAAAACGTGCTACAGCCAATAAAATGAAAAACTGTATATAAAAGAGTAAAATGTCACATTTACAACCAAGTATATTATTTAAATTCATATAATTTTCTTTGAATGGATCTGTGGCTGGTAAAATGTGACCCAGAGAAACCGCCACGAACCCAGGTCGGAAGAAATATACTTGGACCTTCTCCAATAACATGTGATACGAGTCTCATGAGATTTTTCTGCATAATTTAGTGACTCCACTTCTCAGCTGCCGCTCATTTTCATTATTTCAACACATTTTGAACTGAATTCTAGAAATCCAGAAGGAATAATCATAAATATCTTATAATACTTTTAAAAAGCTTTAAATGTGCAGTTTTAAATCACCTGCCCACTCCCTCACCTATAATGCCCCCGCTCTCATTTTCCTCCTCAGAGAGCTCCATGTCTTCCACTTCACGATTGTCCTTCTCTCCAACAGTCTCTGGGTCTATAGGGGAACCTCCTCCCAGTGAGGACAGAGGGCTCGGGGCCGGTGGCTCTGCTTCGTCATCCATTGCAGAGCCATCAAGATCTGGATCAGGGTCAGCCAGGTCCAAACCATGGAAAGGGGACTCGGACCCTGTTGGAGACGGTGCATCTGCAGAAGGCGAAGGGATGGGCGACTCGTCCAGGTCCGGTAAGGTGGCCTTCAGGGTGTCCAGCTTACGCTTGAGGTGCAACACCCGGTTAGCAAAGGTTTGGTAGGCCTGGAGAGAAATGTAAAGATGTACGAGATTGATGATGTATTAATAAACGAAAAACTAAATTAACATTGCTCAATTATTTTTTTGAAGTTAATGTTTCGGGTCATTTTAAGAGTAGTTTGATCATTTTAACTTTCTTGTGGTGTGTACTTTTCTGTCATTTATGTCATTAATGTGAAGTACCATCTATAATACTTAAACTGCATCTACTAAATAAATGCTTATACTGCCATTAAACAAGGATTGCATTAAACACTACTATAAAACTCTATATTAATTACTTATTGATTGAAAGCTAAGGCTGAAATTAATAAACAACAAATATTTGTCTCTTACATTAGCAACAATCTTGACCTCCTTGTACTGCATCTCATAGAAGATATCTGCGTTGGTGAGGGCCTCCAGGAGAGGAGGGCCTGTTTTGCTTTGTTTGTCAAAGAACTTGACAAACTCCTGTAGCTGTGTGTTTCCTTCCTCAAAGTCCTTGGAGAACTTCTTTCCTCCGGCCTTATCTGTCAGATTGAATGCATATAGGTATTATAAGGTCAATTATGAGGTGTCGAGGATACAGAGACACAGTTATTACTCAGACGGTGCAGACAGTATAAGATGACTTAATCAGGCACCTTTGAGTTTCTTGAGAGCCTCAGAGCTGCAGATGTCAACTCTCATAGCTGCCTGCTGTTTTTCTCTCAGGTCCAGATCCTCCAGAGATTTCTTGTACTTGGACAGTTGGTCTATTAGTGCCTGGGGCTAAAGCAGATGGAGCCGTTAGTAACACTGTGAGACCAACACAACATTTGAATAAAAATAAACTATGTGCAGAGCTATTTATTGTTACCTTCATTAATAATATGTGAATGTTACAGTTGAATTTTTTTTTGGTTTGAATTAGAATTAAAATTTCTTCCTTACCACGAACTCTGCAACAATCTTGGATTGTAGATCTGCTTTCGACTCGACTGGAGCTTTAAAAACATTAAAATAGAAATTGGAGATCACATCAAACAGCTTAATATATACGTGTGTGTGCAACATAAAGTATTGAAAATAAAAAAGATTTGAATAAGAACTTCAGCCAGTTAAATATAAATAAATTCAAAACACATTCGTAAGTTATAAAACCAAAATTGGTTTTAAATACAATAAAAACTGTTTCAAATATATCAGGCTCTAAAAAAAATGAATAAGACAACACACTTACTTTTCTGCTCAGCGGGCGTTTCAGGCGGGGACTCCTCCTTGACTAAGCCACTCCTGAGCTCAGAGATGAGCGTCCCTGCATACACACCTCTCTCCTCCCAGATGGACAGTATCCTTTCCAATGATTTAATCACCTTGGCGTCACCTTCTTGGCTGGAGAAAGGAGACGAGATGACAGAATAAGAACAAGGGAGGCCAGAGATTTATGTTGCTGTAATGACGTTTGCTTTATTTATGTATGAGGAGTTTCTGTAAATGGATAAACCTCAGACAAGGACAAAGTGAGACAGAGAAAATGAGAAGACAAAGGAGAAGGTTGACAGGAAGGAGAGGACAAATAGGACACCCTACACAAAGATTATCACTGGATCTAATACGCTTTCAATCAGAGCTGACTGACGACACGTTCCAGCACCACATAAAACAACATTTCAACAAACGACTTACTTAACCAGCGAGAAGGCCTCCGGAAGCACCTCAGCGAATTCCGTACGATAGACGGTGGCATTTTTCCTTTTACAGTTCTGAATGACATCGTTGGCGAGGTAAAACAGGTTGAGTCTGTGTGGGGCGTCAGCTGACAGGACAGAGGAGACAGCCCCGTTAGTGTGACTGGCAGATCAGCAACTTCTCACAATTTTCAGATATTTGCAGACATCATTGTTTATTGTCATGATTAACTTATTAATCTTCTACTATATGTCTGTAAGTACCATCACCTACAACCAGATCCTAAACATTTGAAATCCCATTTTTTACTTGCCAAAATACAGTAAATGAATTATTCTGATCAATTTGATGGCCGATTATGTCAATATTCATAAATTCATTATTTAAAATAGTCTCTCTACATTACATACACCATCAGTCTTTGTTGTCATTGTGTTTTTGTATTGAGGGGAGTGAAAAACGACCTGCTCACATATGGGGCTGAGAATGATTTGAAACATTTTAATAGCCAAGAACTGTTGTATTCATACTTCAAACACAGAGTTCACCTTTCCAATAAAACCCTTCCTTTAATTAACCATGAGAAGCAACCACGCAACTACATAATGTAATTATCTCATTAAGGAATAAGTGCACAAGCTCTGTGCCACTTGAAGTTACCTGAGAATGTTAGAAGCTTTGTTAAAGACGTAAATTCATCTGTATTTTAAAAGTGTAGGAACCAGTCAACACAACTACATCAATTAATCTCCTTTAAATAAATAAGAAAACTGATGTTTGTGTTTAAAATGTAAACACCATTACTAGGGTGCAAATCATTTTAAATATTATATTTTTTTAACAACAGGTATCCGCTCTGTCAGTCAGTGTTCACAGCATAAAAATTATGATAAAAGCCAATCCTCAAGTAGTTTCAAAGCTAACTGACTGACAACAACATGAGACAAAGAGCAAATGACCGTGAGACACAGCTTGATAGTGACTTTTGACAAACTTCTCCAAAACTATGATCTACCAGGTAACCTTGGCATATAAATCACAAGGAAGTATAAAATGTATGAAATGAAATATCTTGCCAATAAATCCATTTCATTCAAAAACAAAGAATGTTTCTATGACAGAAACCAAACTAGGACCTCTTCAGATTAGCAGAGTAACAAACACAAATGAACCAATAAAACTGGGTGCAACAGATTCAATTTAAATAAAAAAGATCAGAACTTGAACCATGAGCTGACAGTTTACAGCCAAATCACATTCTGTTTTTGGTTAAATTGTAAAATCCACATGAACTACTGATTTAATCTATATATATCAAACTGATTTACACATTCAGGTTTTAATATTCTTTAACGAAATGCAAAATCCAGTTAGTCAGCATGTTGAATTGATTCTATAAATCTATATTTACTGTTTCAGTGCTAACAACATAAACATCTCAGTTCTGACCTCGTCTTGGACAATGATTACTGCAGCACCAGGAGTGTTGTTTTTAAAGGGCTTTGAAAGCTCAGGTTCATAAGTCACATGTCAGATCTTGTAGCAGAAGCTCATGCAACACATTATTGAGTTAAGAAATACAGCACATAGAAGACAACACTATCCCGAAACCACAGGTGAAAAACCACAAACTGTTACTGTTACTCAACACGTACTGATTATCACACCAGAGTAGAAAGCTTACATGACTAACATACAAGGTGCAAAGGTAGTTCAAGTTGAAATTTGATCATCTTTTATGAAACATCATTCATAAGATTTTAGCTTTCACAATTTAATTCTGCATAAATGTTGAATTCTCGATGATATGTCCAATCTAGTGTGCAAAGTGCTCAGGGTTCATGTTCATGCCTCAGTCTATTTGAGCAGATAAAGTTTATTTAATGGCTTCTCTTTGCATTTGCACGCTCTGCTACATCAACAGAAGCATCAGCAGTCGGGTTGCAAGTTATTTTCCCTGTCAGCTGATCTGGTGATTATCTTTATAGTCTATCGACCAATTAGTCAATTATGAAATACAAGACAATAACGACAAATGGCTATCCGTCGTGAAAGGCATATGTGTGATGGGCATTAATCAATATTTCTATTGGTGAGATTTTCCTTCAAGATCAGCAAATGCTTTGATTTATAGTTAAATCAATTGATTATCAAAATTGGATCTGACATCAACTGCAGCCCTTTGGCAAGATGTTTGTTTACAGCCAGTGTTATTATAGTTTTATTGAAAATCCAGACTGATCATGTTATGTCATAGTTTGTTTTAAATCCAGCAGCCAAGCCAACCATACTCAAATGTCAACAGTAAAAAAGAAAGCAATACTGAACAGAGCAGCTTCATGGCTGAGATAACCTGCGGATTTCTGACCACCCCTCTATGATTCAAACTTTCCAACAAGTACAGTGCACATCACAAAAGAAGGAAACTTTGGTATATTCTTAAAGGAGACAAATGCACCATGGAAGCACAACACCAATCAAAATAATCTCATATTTTGATTGTGACTCATTTTGACACAAGATAATGTGATATTATTTGACCCAGTTGATGCTTTGCATAAAAAATATGCAAATTCCCAACAAATTTGTATGTAATCAATTTTGCCAAATAACTGATGCACTGTCAACCTGAGACCTTTGCCCTGGAGGTGGGGCCCCAGGAGCTTCGCCCAGCTCCAGATCTGAACAGCATAACAACACCAAAACAAATATCCACCTTCACAAGATCATTAGCAGGCAAGGCAAGTTTGTCCTTGCAAAGCACGAAGCAGCCTGGGTTTAGGAGATAATTCATCAAGATGGAAATAATCCAATTTAAATTCAACCAAGCAGAGTTGGGTGCCAACTTATTAAACTGAGAGTAGAGCTCGTTTGAATCTCCACAGTTCCACAGGGGCCAGAACGAGAAAATATCTCATAGGACTAGAAGAGCAATGTAACAAAAGTCCAATATATTGTCTCCGCTCTATTTTTCATGTTTAACTTATCAGGCCGGCAAAATAATCAGTTCATCTCAAACTCCACTATCTGATCTGTATAACCACAGTGATCTGCCGACTTGATCATCAATCCATCCACAATAACCATCCTGAACCAACAGATAAAGACACTAACCTGGTTTCATGTATGCATCTTTTATGTTTGTTCATTAACAGCCCTTGTCATGTGTCGGCACCATGTGGTTTTTATGTGTTTTAAATGTGAATTGTGTATGTTGAGCCCTGGCAGAGAAGAATTTCTGTCAGTGATTATCCATCAATCTGAAGCACCGGTGTAACTATTATTATTAAGCGTTGTGCACATGGAGATGTAACATATGACTGAAACTGAGATTTCTCAACTATTGTTGCTGTTTGTCGTGTGTTTGAACCACAAGCTTCACTCTGTGGGTCGGATTTCTTCTCACATTGAGGTCTACAATGCAAACATCTTTAAAATGAAAGAGAACTTTACAACCTGCAATCACAAGTGTTTGTCATTCTCTGCTCAGACAGAAGAGTTTAAACCACAACCTTCACTCCAGAGCAAAACATCTTTAAAGGGGAAATAACGATGTGACATTGATCCTGATCACCAGCAGCACTGACCAACATCTGATCTTGATATCATTTTGCTCCAGATGCTCTGTCACGTGTTTAACTCCACATCAGTCGCACGTTCACTCACATTTCTTCAGACACCTCATCCACTGGCGCACGATCACGCTGTGGTACTTCTTGTTGTCGATGCACCACGTCGACAGCCCCTGGATCGAGTCCATCGTGTTGGTGACACCTTGAAACTTCCGGGCCAACGTCGCCTCCAGAGATCCGCCGTACGCGGCTCCTGCTCCCGCTGCCATGACCGCGGGAGCCCGCTCGCATTTCCCGACAGCAACTGAAAGTTAGCACTTAGCTTAGCATGCTAGCTGAACGCAGCGCTCGGCAGCCGCTCCGCCGCCATTGTTATGTAACGAAGCCTTAAAATGTGTAGTCTGCTGGGTTGTTTTGTTTCTTTTTTTACAAATGATCGTCTCTTTCGCCGCCGGGAGTTTCTATCACTTCATATTTTAAAGCTGGAGTTTAGCGCCTTGCGACATCCTGCGCGTCTGTTTACTCGCTGCTGGCGGAGCAGTTAGGGACACTTCCGGAAACACGACGTGATTATAGCGCCACCCCGCGTCACGGAGGTTGAGTGTTTGCGAGCGCCACCTGCAGCGTGTTACCGGTAACGACTTCGTGTGCGTGTTACATAACGTGTGGCGCAACAGAACGAGCTGCAACGTGTTACACAACAATGATATAATGGTGCACAACAAGAAACACTGCGTCTCTACATGTTACCCGGCAGCGTGGGGTGCAATCACAAACTGGAATTACATGTTGGGTTGTATCGCACTGTGCAGTATCTGTACTAACAATACAGCTCTAATAATAATAATAATACAGATAGTGAATACATTTAAAAAGTCACATGAATATTTGCTGTGAACACTCTTTGACTTTAAAACCTTGTCGTCATTACACTTACTTTTGTTTTCTTCATTCCATACGGACCGTTCGTGGGTTATTGTTACTGATACATGAATGTGGAGTCAATTATAACAATTCGGAATAATTATAATTCATATCTGTAAAGTGTCTATCAATCGTAGCTATCAAACACATGTACGGAAACAAAAGTAGAATATTTCCTTATGAAATATTGTGGAATATAAGAATGAAGTAAAGGAGATCGAGATACTCTGAATATTTCAGTTCAGTACAGATATGTATCCGAGTTACTGACTACACTTTTACAGTGTTAAAATAAAATAATGAACTGATCAAAACTGAATAGTCCTATTATTAAGCAATTGTATTTAACTCATGGATTATGAAACAAAAAAAACTGTAACATCTTTAAATAGAACTTAATGTTTTTCTTTGTTTCATAATCCATGAGTTAAATACAATTGCTTAATAACATCTTTAAATAGAAGAACTTTAAATTGCAATTAGAATAAATTCAATGCACTTTAATTAATTTGTTTATATTAAAGAAAATATTTTACGGACAGAAAAATTGGCCCAACTATATTTTGATTAACTACATAAGGGATAATAAATATTCATTAATCAATAACAAGAAAAGAAAATACATTTCATAGAAGAAGAGTTAAGGACACATTACTGGGGTATAAGATTTTTACTTCCAACAACTTCAGAATCAGAATTCTCATATTACAAATGTTGTTTTAAACAGACGTGTAACCCAGCACAGCAAAACCTGTACTTTAGGACATGATGACATTTTACAGACCAAAACAACACAAAGCTGAACTATTGTACTTTACCACATGCTTAACATTAGGATTTTTAACAGCCTAATTCCAGGCCAATGAAAATGTCTAATGGTAAAGCGTGAGGGACGTCAACATTTGGTTTGCAATGACATGAGAGGTCATGTGATGATTTTACCATTGTTAGTTACATAACACAAGTTTTGTAGAAATGTTTATGTATCTTCAGGCTAGTTCATGGTTACCGTTAAGGCTGACTGGTGACAAACTCAGAGATGAAATGCCATTCAACATGAATGATATCAGTTTTCAAATATGGTGGAACAACACCCAAATACTATCAAAAATACCTGATGTGTTCAGGAATGGAGTTTTCTTTATCTAAATGACATTATTCCTTATTAAATAAAATAATCAATTGTAAAGCACTTTGAGTGATAAAAACTAATTTCACAAGAACGAGTCAGGGATGCAATTCCATTTATCATGGGACACAGAAGCTGTTCTCAACCCTCGTTATAAAACAATACGATTGGGGCGTTTAATGTGAACAATGAGCAAAATTTGTACTTTTTATTACACCTTTCAAATTCCATTCCAAAGTGCCAAAGTTAAATTATTACAAATAAAACACAAAAAATGTTTGCAAATAAAAATTCTCATTCAAGCGCATGAAAATAACTTACAAGTCTGCCGATAGAAACTCTTCTGATGTGCAACTCTTCCTTATTGTGTCACAAAGTCAAATTGCATCAATTCTAATTCACACAGGATCAAATAAAATATGTCTCTGGAATCTTCTATGAAAAAGTCACTCAAAGCTCACATGTTTATCAAATACTACATTTTCTACATCTTCCTCTTTCTCCTCAAACTCAGGTTGTGGTTTTCCCGTGTAGTGTTTTTTCACTTTGCCGTTCTTATTTTCACAGAAGCAAAGATGTGTTAAATATATAAATAGGTAGCGTCTGTGAAGTGGTGTGTTTGATATGATAACGTTCTGCATCATATCAGACTACTTTTTGTTTGGCATTTACATTCTGTTTAGCTACAATCAAGCTGCAAGAAAAAAATGAACTTTCTCAAATGGCTTTTTTTTTTTAAATTTTTATAAA